TTCATATGCTGAATAAACTGATCTGCGAACATAAGATATTTTTCAAAAGTATTTTTGTGAGCATATTAAAAATAGCACTCCAGTGGTCATTGGAAAGCAAAGGATGTAAACTGCAATTGAGAGTAAAATATAGTAGTATATCCAAATTCACATAATATTTTTTATAAATTAGTAGATAGTCATCTGAACAAAAACAGACATAGATTAAAAAAAAAAAAAAAAAGGAAGAAATACGTCAATTTAACACCAATAGTGCTTTAAGGACACCATGGAAAGTATATGGTTCTTTGTGTAATTTGATCACAAAAGCATTATATGATGTGTACATACTTGGAAGAAAACACTGAATAAACACCTGTTAACAATGTGCTGCTGGAGGAGGTGGGCATTGCTTAATGGGGCAAGTGACCAGCTGAGTCAGCTGGAGCCTTAATTTTAACATATTTCTTTAGAAAATGTGTAAGACTGCCTTAGATTTAAATGCATCAGAAATTCAGTATTTTCCATGTATTTTAAAACAGGTTGCTTGCTATCTGAGGTTACTAATCTGCTCACCTGTCATTTCCCAAGAACTGCTAAAGATCCTACTTCAACCCCTAGACTTTCAACCTAAAGAAACTATGGTTTTCAAGGGAGGGACGGAGCAGGAAGGAATGATCCAGCCTCTAGGCACCTTTCACTCTGCTGGATAAGGTAACTATTTCCTCCCCCAGAATGACCTTTAACTTCTTACATTTCTTATATTTCAAATTCAAGCCTCATTTCTCAGGCATTTAAGACGCTTTTGGCTTTTTACCTGGCTTGATAAAAGCCAAGATGTTTTTTCTCCTGGGGGCTATTTTGCTAGACTAGGGTCATCAGATATAACTTTAACGTTAGGTTGTTACATGACATCTTTCAAAGTATAATCAGGCTGTGCGGTTCATGATCTGGCTATTCGATTAGAGGTCTGTGTTGCCAAAGGGCTGTGCTTTTAAAAATATTGAGAAAAACCACACACATTTGACTGAACAGGGAAGGAAAATTCTATAGGTTGGTCCCTATATCCTGGTCAGGAGATGCTTTCCCTTGTCTCCTTCACACCTGCCCACACTATTCACATTCTAAAAACATGCTTGTTACTCTCAGGGCTCCTGGGCTATATATCCTCCAACTGTTACAGGCTTTTGACTTCACCTATGTGTTTTTTGCATACCTTTGCTTATACTTTAGGGTGGGGTTTTTTCCCATTGGAGGAGAGGGGAGTAGGTTATAAAAATACTGGTAGGAAATAAGCAAATCACTTCACTTTCTACATCAAATAAATCTACCTGCATTATCCTTTTTAGGGAAAAGTTTGATGAAGAACAGGATCGAGTCTCAAAATATCTCCCCATCATTTACTTAGTAACTACAAAGGGACAAATAATAACTTGACAGTGGAGAAACCTCAAGGACACCACCATAATCAAGACACCAATGAGACAGGCATCAGGCGCCTCCTGTTAGGATGCACTGTGAAGGACACAATAGCACTTCTGTGGTACCCTGGCCATAATGCATCGCCTGAAACAACCATGAGTAAACAGGACAAACCCAAATTGGGGACCATCCTACACAACAGCCAGCCTGGCTTCTTCACACACTGCCCATAAATAACAGGAAGAACAAAGAAGCTGAAGAGCTGTTTCATATTGAGACCAGAGACATGAGAGCTAAATGCAGTGCATGACTGTGGACTGGTTGCTGGGCTAAAATAGAATTAAAATTAAAAAATAAAATTAAATAAATATAAAGTAAAAGCTTATTATAAAGGATGTTACTAGAATAGTGGCAAAATGTGAATATAGACTAGATGAGTCACTAGTATTGATGCTAAATTTCTGATTTTGATCACTACACTGTGATTCTGTGAGAGAACGTCATTGATCTTAGGAAATCATCACTGTTTAGAAGGAGCATCATGTCTCAACTTACCTTTAAGTGGTTCAGAAGAAAAAAGTACATATGGAAAGAAAGTGAATGCCAAAGCTCAATGTTAATAATTGATGAATCTAGATAAAGCATACATGAGTTCTTTATACTAATCTTGCCACTTTTCTCTGTTTGAAATTATCTCTAGCTATACCTATATATCTTCACCAATATAGATATATAAAATACACACACACAATTCAAAATAAGTTTATAACCCAGTGCGTAAACCTAAAATCCAGCCTACTCCTTAGGTATTCTTAGGCAAGTTATAGAAACAAGGGCTAAGATACCAACAATGACCTTTGGACTTTCTTAAACAGCGCCTATTACTTATACGTTTAACACTCAAAATACAAAATCCATACTTTTCCCCAAGGGAGGCCCAAAGTTTTCCATGTTCTCATGCACTAATAAGAAGGCTTATTTCTATAACCTAACTATCGAACTTTTGTGTACATAAACTTTCTCTTACATGCCAAGTTCCCTATTTTCTTTGAAAATCCAATTTACATCTTTGGGACTTCAGGTACCACAAGCTCTTTTTTTTTGTCACATCAAATAACTATTTTACTTTAGCTTCTTAAAAGGAAATTCAATAACTCTATGCTCACTACTAGCTTTTTTTTCTCTCTCTCTCTCAATATCTCTTTGATCAAGCTTTTCCATCCACTCTGGAATAATCCAGAAGTAATTAGAACTTCTTACCTTCTTTAGCCCGAAAGGAGCCAATTTATCACAAACTGTCTTGGATTCTGATTTTAAATTACCAAGAGCCCAATTACTGATAGAGGCAAGGAATCTTTTTTCCAATTAAAGTAACTGATTTCTTTGCCGACCCAGTTGCATTTCACTTTTTAATTATGTTCATTCCTATCAAATGTGAGAAAATTCCTCATTTACTTTCCTTCCGAAGAACACGATACAACAAACATTCTCATGGAGTGAGTGATACAAGGCCAGACTCACTAATGCTTTGGGCAGCAGTAGACATCTAGCAATGGGTCTCGTCCATTTTATGGGTCTCAGTGGCTCCTTCCGCTCTAGAGGAAGGAAATAATTATTTGTTACATCACATAGTTCACCTAAGGGCTAAGCAAACCTTCCAGCATCAGCTAAGCTGTGATGAGACATTAGATATTGGGATAGACAAGCAGGGAGAATGAAGACTCAGGGACAGAACAATTTTGTTTCTTGTGCAGACAAGGGACAGAACCTCAGTGTTAGAGACGAAGCAGTATGTGGAGATCAACATAAGGAACATGGGAACAATTTTGCTTTTCCTCAAAATTAGTATGATTAGGGTGGCATTAGTATGAGTTGTCAAGAACTTTGAGAGGGAAATCAAACTTCAAATCCAATTTGAGGGGTGAAGTACAAATTGAAGGATTCGAAAGGAACACAAGGCCACCCCGCTTACAGATTCCCCAACACACCTGTTGTCTGCTGTTTGTAATCTTAATGGAAGAGCAGCAGGTTCTGGCTCCAGAGACCTGCTGGCCCAGGAGCCTCTTTAGCTCCCCTTCTGCTTCTCTCCACGTGGTCTGCAGACTGGCATCAGCTCATTCCCCTGAGACATGCAAAGGTCAAGGTTTTCACTCGATGAGTACCTTCTAGCAATCTGTATCCAAACAAGGACTACTCTTTGTACTTGGATGAATACAGTTGCTGACCATTTTCCAAAAACTTACACAGATTTATGAGTCTGGGAGCCCTCCAAGATTTGAAATTGACTCATCCAACCAGTCATATCTGATCATTTTAGTGAAAAGTTAAATTGTATACTAAGCTTTCGAAAATTAAAAAATCCATATATGTGAGATTATAACTCTGCCTTTTACTCCAGGCTGAGAAAGTCAGGAAGACCAACATGACCCATTTAAGATTTTTTGTTCATGAAACAGACCATTGCTGAGCACCTCCTCAGGACAAGGCAGGATGCCAGGAGACAGAGGTAGAGACACATGGCTCTTCCTTGCTGCTCCGGTGCAGAAGGCAAATAAGCAAGACATCCCAGTTCAGGAAAGAAAGAATGAAGGTGCTGTGATGGGATAAATGGGTCACTCATATAAGAACAGAAAAAGCGTCATTCTAAGGCAGGAGACACACAATCAGGGTCAGGAGGTTGACAGGTGTCTCGAAGGAAGGTTTGTCTTGACCAGTGGCGGCAAGACCTCTAGGCTGGCGTGTCACATGGGCAAATGCATGCCACATTCGAAGAACCATAAATGTAAGAGGCCATGCCAGATGCTACAGAGCTGCGATTGCTGGGCTAAGAAACCTGGAATTTGTATCAAGGAAGAGCTCAAAGGGAATTAACACCCCAACCGGCTGCTGAAATATTCTGCTGAGGGCCAACAGAGCTGGCCATGGAAATGGGAATGGAAGTAAGTGGAAATGGAAGGAACTCGGGGCTGGTACAAACCAGAAGGGCGTGCAACCATCATAGGAAAGGACAGGGAAGAGGTTGGCTCTATTACATGCGAACACTTAGCCGGATTCCACAGACTGGCCGGCTTTTGCTATCCAAACATTTATTGTGGTTATTCACACCCTGCACGAACCCTTGTAAATTCTTAGACATCCCTGAGATAAGTGGGGGAACTTTCAATCTTCCTTTTAGAGAAAAGAAAACCAAGACTGGGAGACTTAGCCCTGACCAGGGAAACCCAATACCCTGGGATGAGTGAGGAGCCCAGTCCTCATTGCAGAACACAAGGAAGCGAGAAGACAGCCCAAAGCCATCCTAGTGGCATGTTTCTGACCTGAGTAGAACAGAGTTCATGGGACTTTATACCATGAGCTGTGCTGGAAGGTGGTTGTGCTGATACTGTCCATTCCAAAAGCCAATGAAAAGCTAGCACGGTGTGCTGAACCATTTAAAATAAATAAACAAATGGATGCACTGAACTCAAGTCTTACATCTTTGGATGAACTAAATTAAATACCCTAATCAGATGCTATTTTCAGACTCGAGTTTTCCCATCGTAAAGTTTAAAAAAGAACAACCTGTCTAAAAATCCGTTAAAGAAATTCATTGACAAAGGTTTAGGTGTTTTAGGACTTTAATGCCCTTCACATACTCGACATAAAATACTGACAATGGATAAACAACAGGACCAAAGAAGCTTCAGCAAGGATTTTCCAGAATCACAGTGTCACTCTGGTCAAACACAATTAATGAGAACAGTCAAGTGAACAAACACGAAAGGAGCTTAACAGAGACTGTTTAGTTTTACGGCATTACTAAAAAACAAAGAACCCACCAACCTTCTCTTCCACCTACTGAAAGAAAATAAAAGTGACTCAGGAACTTCTAAATCTTGTGAAGCAGTTTCCAAAGGGAGGAAGGAAGGGAGACACACAACTGTTGAAAACATAATGTTATAATGCACAAGGTCAAGGACTTTAACAAATTCCCAAAGTCTCTACATTTATCACTGAGAACTGCAGTATTAGAAATATAAATGTATAGAGATATAAACTATTTGGTATTAAAAACAGACCTTGCTATATAAACATATGGTATGTCACTTTTCTCTCTTTATGAGAATAACAGTATAAAGATCTCCAATTGGCCCTTTAGCCGAGAATTCCTAAACACTCACCAGGTGATCAAGGTTGGCTTGAATTAACAGCTGTGGAACCCAGGAGCCCCCACGGCTGTCGTTTTTGGAAAGGATCAAGACGCAGCACCTAGCAGACTCCACCCACCCTCAATGCTCAGAGTCTGTGTCTCCAGAAACATTAACTGCACTTTGTGTAAGTCCACAGGCAAGTCTGAATACCGAGATCTAGCTAGAAAAAGTAGCAGCAAAGACAACATAAGGTGGAATCATTAGAAAAGCTAAAGATTTTTTTAAATGCTTTCAGTTCAAGCCAAAATTAAGGTGGCTGTTAAGTCCCACCAGCTTTGCAGAGCTGTGGATATTTTGCTGTTCTTTGAAAAAAAATAATCTATAATAAGCATGTTCCCTTGATAAAATTACCATGGTTAAGTTTTTGAAACCGTTAAGTTACTTTAAATTTTGGACATAGTTCAAGGGTAGAGTATATATCAGTTAGGATGTGTTCACAGCTGATGCATCTCCAAAAACTTCTTCATGAAGGCTGCCAGCTCCTGAACGTCCTCGATCGTGACGGCATTGTACAGAGAGGCCCGGATGCCTCCCACAGACCTAGAAGGACAAAGATGCCGCCGTTAACAAAAGCATCTAATATAGCATCGAGGTGAACCCTCTTTCCTGTCACCCCCACAGGTGGCTGGGAGCTTCAGACACCTAAACATTAGAAAATTCTCCCTGATGCAGTGCAGGTCCATCAAGTGCACACATAACCTAAATTAACTCAGCAGGAAGCAAGGAGCCAGGAGCACCGCAGGGCAGGCGTCTTGCCTCTCATGGGGCAAGGAAATGGACTTTCCATAGAGCGTGCAGATTAACTGCTCTATTTGACATTCAGCTGGAGCACCATGATCTGCTCTTACACCAAATGGGGTTGTACAGCCTCATCAGAGATAGGACAGCAACCCCTATGCTGGAAGATCCATTTAAGAGATTTTCAAGAGAAATTTTAACAAAGTCTCTAGACTATGTGGCTCCACCATGCTCTCAACAGGGAACTGTGCTAAGGGCTCTAGAAGCAACAGGAGGAAGGAGTATCCCTGTGACAACTGGTTTTCCCAACAAGTTACAATAACTGCTACTCCGAGCTGGGCAGGCTCCGAGATGTGTTTCATTCTGCATCTGAAAAACCAAACCCATTCTCTGATGAGCTTCTGCACTGGATGTACACTCACCTGTGCCCTTTCAAGGAGATCATGTTGAGCTCAAGGGCTTTATCGAGAAACCTTTTTTCTAAAGCATCGTCTCCCTTGGCGCTGCCAATGCGGAATGGAATATTCATCTTGCTTCTATTCTGGGGCTCCACTGGACACCTGAAAAGCACGTTTATTAGTCCAGCAACTTTTCTGAAACATGCAATTTCCATTAACACATGAACAGAAAAAATGCTTAAACATTTTCTAGATGCAAACAGGAGATTTTAAAAAAAAAGCTGTGCCCCAGGAGATTTATAATCTACTTAGGGAGACCCCTCTTGCATACAGAACAGTGAGCTACCATTCTCTCGTATGACTTGTACCTAGTTTCCATGAGCCTCGGTTTCTTCATCTGCACATTGGGAATAAAAACTCCATTTCAGACTAGTGACAGTTCAGTGGTACAGCACATGTGAAGTTTCCAACACATGGCAACCGCACAGCAATGTGACTGACGCTTTCTCTACAAGGCTGCAGAGAAAAAACGTTGGTCCTCATAGTGGTTGAAACTCTTCAAACACTTGTCACACTGCATTGTCCCAAGCTGTGTGACCTTGAGCAGTCACTAACCTCTCTGCTGTGCCTCACTTTCCTCATCTATTGAATAGTGGCTGATATGAGGATCACGTATATTTACAAAAAATTTTGTGGCATATTTTTAAATGGCCACACACTCTCTGTAGCCCTCTCAACAAGAGGTGGGGTCTGGTTCTCCACACCTTTTGAGTCTGGGCTGGCCTTGAGACTTGCTTTGACCACAAGACAGCGACAAAAGTGATGCTGTGCAACTTTCAGGCCTCAAGGGGCATGCAGCTTTGACGTCTGACCTCTTAAAACTCTGCTTTCATGTAAGTAAGCCTGAGCTAGCCTGCTGAAAATGAGGCCCAGCCATCAGCCATCACCAACTCCCAAACATGTGACTGAGACCACTGCTCCAGGGGGATCACCAGATGACTTCGGTTGAATAAGTGATCCCAGGTGAGAGCAGCAGCAGAACTGCCCAGGTGAGCCCAGCTGCACCTGCTGACCCAAGGAACCGTGAGCAAAGAAAACGGTTGTCATTCTAAGTCCCCGTCCTGGGGTGTTTTGTGATGCAAAAATAGAAAACTGATACAATTTAGACAGCGTCTGGAACAAAGTAAATATGATATAAGCATCTGTTAAATTCAATCAATTCAGCTTTTTATTCCCAGCACCTTGCACAGGGCTTGTATAGAATCTCAAAATTGATGAGTGAATTTTTAATCTATGATTTGACTTCAGTTTCTTATTTGGAAAATAAGCAATGGAAAAATTATTTTCCATTGACATCCCAAACAGGCAAATGAAAGAGGAACCAACATGCTCCTCTGAAATAAATGAAAAGTAAAACATGTAATAACTCTTTCTCCATTTTCTCAAGCACATCCTGTCTTTCTTTCACTTCTCCAGGGTGGGATTCATTAAAATTAAACAGCAAATAAAAGCAGTGGGAGGAAGCCCCCATTAAAAGTTATGCTCTCCCAAGGGCATATCCACAATTCCTGTTACAGTTAATAGGAGTCAAGTGCACAGCTACACACAGAAGAGATGCAAGGAGGGAAACCAAGTATCTGGTAATAGGCTTTGAGCCTGAATCCCAGGCTCCCCTTCCTCACGAAGTGGTAGGTGTCATGGTTGACATTTAAATTAAAAATTCAGTGGGTACCCTCTTTTGATATTCTGCTGCCTCAGGCTCCCAACATGAGGTCCTATTAAGGTGGAGCAGGAAAAAGCACAGCTAATTTAAGAAGGGGGAAAAAAAACCTAAAGGGGGGAAGAATGAAGAATTTGTACTTAGAGTTCGCAACCTCACTCCGTTTACCCATCCTATTGTGAAAGTAGATGTATCACAGCACCAATGATGTCATAAAAGCTAGAAATTAAAGATGAAAGTGGCATCTAACAAATACTTACACACTGCTTCCTGGTATGAAGCGGCGGAGAGGGGGAAAAGATTAAGGGGAATTAACTGCTTCCAATCTAGCTAGATGGCTGTGTAGGGAATTAAAATTCCATGTGAGAAGTGCAACAGCAGCAAAGGGCTGTGGAAACAGAGCCAACCAAGGAATTCTGCCTAAGAGAAGGCAGAAAGGTTTCAGAGGAGGGGACATGGAGTGGTTAAGATGGAAGGAGACAAAAGACAGGCATCCTGGCAGAGACCTTGCATCTGCACAGGCGAGGGGACCCTCGGCAGGTTCTCTGCCAGGACTGGAGCGTTGGGTTCCTGGCTAGAGCAGCACCTGAACTGTGGACGGCCCTGCAGATATGTTCTGCTGGAAACTGGACGGGGTCTTTGAGCAGAGAGAAGCAATCAGTTTTGGGATGAAAGAAAATGGAAACCTGGGTTGTTTTTTTCTTCCTGCTCTTTCTTCCTAAGGCCTGACCTTAGATGTGGATATGGACTCTATCCCTTGGACATCTTTGTAATATTAAAATTAATATCAAATATATATTAAGAACCATCCTAAGTGTTTTCCACAAATAATAATAGTAAGAGCTAACTCTTAAGGAATGCTCCCTGTGTGCCAAGCAGTTTCTAGGGCTTCACTCTCCCAGGGCGATGTATTTAGTATAAAAAATGTCACCACCCTGAGATTTAAGTCACAAGCCTGAGATTCCTGGGTGGGGATGTGGGACCACCCAGATCACCAACACTTCAGTGTCCCAGAGAAAGGTGAATGCATCCATTTGCCAAAAGTCCCTGGCATATACACATTTTTAAATTCGCAAAACACAAAATGTGAGATCAGATCCATCGACTTACACATAGAATCCTTGGGAATTATCAATGATATCATAGATCATCTGAGATTTGATGGAGCTAAGCTTCTCCATGGCTGCCGCACCGCCATTGTTCTTAATCCACTCCAGGACCAAGCCCATGACGTAGATGCTAAAATAAAGATTAAAACAAAACTCCATTTAGCTCAGTTTTGCAAAAGTGGGAAGACATTCAAGCAAACTATTAAGATGGACCAAGACAGACTTTAAAATGTAATTGCACACAGACAAGATGAGAAGGGGTGATGTGTAGACCAAGGACAAGCAAAATCAACCCAATTCTATGCCCCAGAAAGCCATGCAGAAAAGGTTTCATTAGACTCCTCACTGGATGTCCCATCAGTCCCTACCTGTCCAGCTCCAAGACCTTATGCAAACTTCACAACACTTGGTACACACTTCCCGACCTCCACCTGCTGACACTGTCCCCACCACAAGCATCCTCAGAACCCCTGGCCCCGGCCTCACCCAGTTAATCCTTCACTTCCTGAACTTCCCGAGTCTTCTGCCCAAACTTCCCATACAGCTTTTACTATTCGCTCTTTTATTTTATATTTCTATGTGCAAAAGGTGTTCAGCTTTTCCATCCCAGAGCTGATACAGGGCCCCCCACCTGGCAGGAGACAGTGTGGCTTAGTGCTAGGAGCCTGGGCTCTGGGTCACAGTCCTGACTCTAGTCCCAGCGCTGCCACTTATTAACAGATTCCCCAGGATTAGTCACCTCAGGAACCCAAGCCTCATCTTTCCCATCTGGGGACCAGGAAGACCAACCAACTTCTGGCATTTTAACTGCCCTGCTCTTCCCAACTCCACCTTCCCACCTAACAGACAGATGCAGCAGGGTCCCTTGCTCCCCTGGTCTCACAGTTGGGCAGGGAGCCTAATGGACCAATCAGAGCCTTCCCCAGGATCCTCTAAATTGGGATGAGAAAGAGGCAGACGTGTGTTGGTAAAATTAGGAGACAGGAGGTCAAGAGCCCAGGAAACACTAGAAGGATGCGCATCTGAAAATATGAAGACAATATTCCAGCAGAGGGAAACAAGGATCAGAAATAGCAGATGGGGTGGGATTTGTGTCACTGGTTCCAGGAGGACCCAATGAACCTCAGTCCTTCATGGAGCTCAGAGCCATTCCCTTCTGAGCCAACCAGAGAAACACACCCTGCCACAAGATCCAAGCAAGGCCATCCTTGAGCCGGTTCTCCAACAGTACTGTTCAGAGGCCACTGTTCCCTTTCACCTGCAGCTATTATCCCAGGGTCCCCAAGCTGCTATTCTGATGATCACACTCAATGCTGCAGCAAGGCCCAGGCCAGGTCCACAGTCCCAGCCAGACCTCAGCACTGACACACTACCCTCTCGGTGGCGGTCATGCTCAGACTAGCTGCGCATGCCTTCTGGCTAATCTTAATTGCAATCTGAGCAGGCAGCCAGCAGAAAGCCCAACCATTTTACACGTCTGTGGAAACAGCACCCTTAGCCTAGGTGTCTGAAGCCTCACCAAGAGGCACAAGGTTGTCCTAGGGACCACAGCCCTGGAGTGGAAGGATGCCTGGCCCCCGTGGCTCTACTGTGGCTTCCAGAAGCCCCATTAACTCACGCTTCTACCCCAAACAATCCAAAATCTTCCAAATGCAGGGCCCTAAAATGCTTACACAGCTTTGTAATGTGGTCTCGATTCTCCCCACTATCAGTGCAACACTTTAAATTAATTTATGCTTTCACATCTAAAATGCAACCTGCAAACACAGAACATAAGTTTACCATCTAAACCTGTTACGTGACTCAATAAATCACAGAACATCTGTTCTATGGAATACCAAGCAGCCATTCAAAGAAAATAAAAGGCAGGCATTTGAGCAGATATGGCAATGTTCATAGTATTTTGTTGAGTGGGAAAAAAGGAATTCACAGAACAGTGTGTATGGAAAAGTTCCATTCGTATAATCAAACATACGGCTCTGTATATGTGCATATGCCCAGTTAAGGGTCTGTTAGGATACACAGCAAGCAGTTACCAGTGGTTACCCCGGCAGGCTCTGATCACTTCAGAAACCTCTGCTAAGAGCACGTTACTCTTATACATTTTTTAAAGCAATACAAAATACTCACTGTGCACTAGAGCTTAGAAAGCACACCAGAAAGTCCACAGAAAACTCGCCCTGGCTGATTCTAACTCTGCAGATGAGCTTCTGGAGTTGATGGTGGACAAGGCTAAGCCCATTCTGATAAGAAAGGTGGCCTGCATTAGTGGGGCTAGTTTGTTTCTTATTAGTTACTCTGCCTCATACTACAACTAAAACCAATTTATACTTACGGGTTCAGCTAGTCACAGTAAGTAAAAACTTTTACTTAGAGTTAGAAAAAAAGTGTAGGCATCTTTTGCGTATCCACTAACTGGGCTTAATGTGTTCTACTAAAGAGTTAAACAGAATGACCAAGCGTCCTTGCATCCTTTATTCCACCCCAATTCATTGCTCAGGGCTACAGCAAGTATTGGAAGCCCAGTTACCAGCACAGTTCAAACAAACTTCCCAGGCCCTGTGGTCATTTGGCTCTGATTTTACAAGGAAAAAAAAAAGAAGAATGCTTCTTTTCAAACTCAGACCTTTTCAAGGACTTCTATGTGACAGAAAGTTCTGGAGTGTCCTGAGTGCCTTATCAGCTTCCATTCAAGGGATTGGGGAGGATGTTTTGCGCAGATCTTCATGTCTCTGTCTATGAAGTTTGTTCTCACTGGGTGAGCTACAATTTTCTATCGCTGAATGTTTAAGCACTGCAAAAGAATTCTACATTTTCCAAGTTAGAGATTCAGGGTAACTGCTCAATTATACAGGCTTACTTTGTTCTTTCTTTTCTTTTGGGGTAAAAGAAAGCAAAGCAACTTCCAGGAGCTGTCTTCAGGCAGAATACATTGAACCCAGTCTTTCATCTTCTACATTTACATGATTCTAATCAAACATTAACTATGCTGCCCCAAGATGGCCAATTACCACTGTTCTAATCTGTCTGGGGAAAAACAGCCCCTTTTCTGCCCTTGTCTCTGGCTCAGCACATTCCTCAGGCAGGAAAGTTCTGGGGAGGTAAATCCTGCCTTTCTGCCCTGCCCATGCACCCAGAGGGGACCAACTTGCCCAACTGGTCAAGGCCTGGGGCCAAGGCTGGAGAAAGACCCTATGAAGTTCCTGCTCTAGGACTTTCTGTGTCTCCAGATCTGACTCCAGACATTTTCACCTCCCATTAGAGACCGGCCTACTTTCTCACTATTCCTGCTGATCTCCCCCCTAATATTAACAAGCAGCATATTCACGTATTCATTACATTTTAAAAAATCTGTTTCATGGCAATTCTTAGAGAAGGTGCCAGGTGAGTGAGAGCGCCCCTTGTTCCTCCAGGCTGTGCTCTCTCTAATCACTACTTGCCTGCCTTTGGGCCACATTTCAGGGAGGTGCTCTCCCTGTCTCCTTCCACCTTCCCAAAGCCAGTGGTGACCATGAAAGACTCACCTGACAGAGAGCCAGGCCCTGGCCCTACCTTCTAATAGTTAAGAGCCACCTCTTGCCTTGTGCAACCCTGCATCTAAGCCCCTTCTCCTGGAGCCCTGCCCTTGAGGGTCCCCAACTGTGCCTCAGCACACCCAGTTCTCATTTCCAGGTTGGCCAGAGGGTACTGCTTTTCCTCTGCCTAGAACCCGAGGTAAGCATCCTCCCCACCACTGCCCCATCCCTAACAGGTAGGTATTTTAGAAACACTTTCAACCAGGGTGAAAGAGAGTGGGGTTTACAGGCAACTAGGAAAGCGAGCACCAGAACCCCCGCTTCCCTGAGGACAGCAGAGGACACAACATGAAGGGCTGCTCTGCCCCACGTGAGCCGTGTGGAAAACTAGCAGAGCATCAGATTCTAACTCTGAACACAACTCCTTTCTTTCCTAAGGCAGATTATGTGGGAGAAATTTTCTACAGGCAGTGCCTCAGGGGGAGACCTCTCATAAATTCCCAACCCCGGTGGCCCATCTGCCTGCACTGGCCCCTGCCCCCTTTTATACTCTTACGAGAACTTCCGCCCCTCCCAGAAAAACCCAAGAATGGGAGAGCCTGACTCCACCAGCTCTCTGCCTTCCTAAGATGGTATCCTTCAAACACAAACAAATCCATCCTGAGGATTTTGCTTGCAAAGAGCACTGAGGTTCAGGGTGTACGCTCCCAGGCTGTGGAGCCAGAGTGCCTGGGCTCAAATCCCAGCCATGCCACTTTGTAGAAGTAGGGCCTCGGCTTCTTCACTTGCAAAATGAGAATAATAAGAGTATCTGCCTCCTAAGCTGCTTGGGAGATTAAAGAATCTTACATATAACATATTACTATTTTACATCATAGCTGTCCCACAAACATAAACCCATCGCTGGTTCTTCCCTCCCCTGCTAAGGCTCTGGGAACTAACAACAGAAATAGTAATAATGTAGCAGCTAATATCTATAACACAAGTTCCAGGCCCTCAGTGAGTGCATTCAATATACATATATCAACTCCTTTAATCCTCACAGCAACTCCAATGAGGAGGGTACTATATTACTTCTGAAGGGACCTGCTGCACAGAGAAGTTAAGAGAATTGCCCAAGGTCACACAGCTGGTTAGTAATAGATCTCTCTGGCAAATATTAAATCCCAGGTGTCACAAAGGTTTTCCCAAACCACCTGAAGCTGGGAGTTAAGAGACTGTTGGCAGGCCTGAGGGGTGCAATGCAGCTAACAGGAACCCTGCAGGCAGTGTGAAAAAAAAGGGAAAGTGTTTGTTCCAAGCCAGTATCTTTGCTGCTAAGCATTGAGCTTCCTTCACGCAGGCCCAGCAGGGAAAGAAAAGAGAGCAGGGGAGGTCCAGCGTTTGAAAGTCCTTCTCCCAATTTGCACTGCTTGTTTGAGATGCAGTCACAGCATTTCACCTGCAGAGAGCTTTGGGGTTAATGGTGAACCACCAAGGCTACCAAAATCAAACAAAAGCACCCCCCCCAAAAAGGGCTAGAAGGAAAACTGGCCAAACAGTGCACAGAGGGTAACGAGGGACTCGTGAGCTGGACAGAGACTCCTGATAGGATCTCTAGGCTATCAGGTCACTGGTTCATGCAAACACTCTACTTAAAAGTCACCTCTGCTTTGATGGGAAAGAGACCCCTCAATTGGTCCACAAGCAGCACACTGGAGTTACCTGAAGCAGGGAGGTGTGTTGTACAAGGAGTTGTTTCCGGCCTGCACTTTGTACTCCAGGACCGAGGGGCACTCCCTGAGGGCGAACCCCAGCAGGTCATCTCGGATGATCACCACCGTGACCCCTGCAGAGCCAACGTTCTTCTGTGCACCAGCAAAAATCACCCCAAACTGGAAATGAGAAAAACATGCCATTGTAGATACACTTGGTAATTTTTCTTAAAGGTATTTAAACTTCCTAAATGATTTCTATGAGGAAGTAACCACTGTATTCCTATTAGGAGTGTATTCTCTTCTCTAAAGGAATCTCCATCTGAGACACTTCGAGTTCAGAGGCCTGCAGGTTACATGCCTGCCTGGCCCTTCTCCTCCCCAGGAAGGGGCTAGTCTAGGTCCACCATTGTAAAAACCTTATACATATTCATATTCACTCTGCATACTTTCCATCTATGCCCAAGTTAGTCTTTAAAATAGAGCACTGTTTAGAATTGCCAGTGCATGGTAAGTGGTAATACATACCAAGACTATAACCAAAATGTGGTATATCCATACAATGGAATAGTATGCAGCCTTAAAAAGGAATGAAGTCTGACAAGTGCTTCCACAAGGACATTCTGCTAAGTGAAATAGGCCAGGCACGAAAGGACAAATATTGCATAATTCTGCTTATATGAGGTAACTAGAGTGGTCACATTCATAGAGACAGGAAGTAGAAACAGTGGTTACTAGCAGCTGGGGGTGGAAGGGCTGGGGAGTTAGTGTTTAACGGGCACTGAGTTTCAATGTGGGAAGATCAAAACTTCTGAAGATGTATGCTGGCAATGATTTAAGGGTGAATGTACTTAAAATGACACTGAGCTGCACTTAAAAATGGTTAAAATGACAAATTTTATGTTAAGTATATTTTACCACAATTTTTAAAAAAAGGCAGATTACTATTTAATCAGAATGTTTTCCATTCTTTACAGATATTATGCCCCTGATTGCAGGCCCCATCAAAAGTCTATGTGTCCTGATGCTCTTGGAGTTGAGCCGGGTACAAGGCAAGGCGGGGCTCCTTCAGAGGCACCCTGTGCTGGGATAATCTGCATCTTCCCTTGAAGACAGCAAGCTACTCCCAATGTGCTGACCAAAAAATTTCCTAAGAGCCACTCTCAGAGGCAGATAAATTCCCAAAGGACTCAAGTGTGACCTTGTGAAGCCTTCATTAACATGGGGCTGGGAGGTCAGGACTTAAACACCTGATGATCCACAATGAACAAGCGACTACTGGCCTGCTCACTGAGAGCTACCCCGGCTCCAGGGTCTCTGCTGGCCCAAGGCTCCCCAACCTTTCCTTGGTCTAGTATATATTCAAATGCCCTTACAAGAACCAAGATGCTGGGGTCCCCTCTCTTACACTCTACCTTGGAAACGTCCACTGGCTTGGATAGGAAGTTTGAAGACATGTCGCAAACCAGCACTGCTCCCTTGACATCAGGGATAAAGTCAAACTCCACGCCATGCACGGTCTCATTGGCGCAATAATACACATAGGAGGCGTCCGGGCTGAGGGTCCAAGTGCTTGGGTCTAGAATTTCTATCACAGAAGACAAGTTAGAGACACCACACCTGTATTCCCCCTTCCTTATGTAGCTGGAGTCCACCAGGAATAACAGCCCGTCCCCTAGCAGTGAAAGGCTGATTCCAAAGCATTCCTAAACGAAAGCACCCTATCCACCCTGCATTATAATCACCACCCCCATCCTAAAAGGATGGTCACTCTCACCCTGCTGACCGTTAAATCTTCAGATATGGCCAGCTGAGTATTTGGGGTTTTTGTTTGCCATCCTATGTCCATTGGAGGTCCAATAGTTTCCTCTTGGGGCTCCAGCCTCCCCCATTCTCAGCCCATGTGATTCCCGTGGAACCAATTCCACCAGAAGCCCCAAAGGTAAAGTGTGACTCAAGTACTGTCACACAACTGATGTGGACTGGGACATATGAGACATGAGACTGTTATTGGAATATGTGAGCACAGAAACTGAACCTTGGGAGAATATAAGGTCAGCAGAGGCTGCAGCCATCTTCTAAGACTGAGGGGACAGTTTTTCTGACTGTGGAGCCACCACAAGGAGAAAGTGAAAGATACCAGGACCTGAAAATAGTGCTGGGACCCTTGATCGACCCACACCTAAAGCCAAACCGGACCCTGGGCTTTGCAGCTAAGTGAGCTTATAGATGCTCTTTCTGCAGCAGCACTTAGTAGCCTTAACTAGTACAGCCATCCAATCTAAGTGGTATCAAACTAACTAATGATAAGAAGGAGCAAAGTCAACATTGCTAGTCCACCTCAGCTCCAGCACTTACTTGTGTAACTCCCAAGTTTAGGGTGGACAATGTTCACAGTCCCAAACTTCTTGGCTTCTTCTGCGGCTTTAGCTGACCAGGCTCCTGTCACCACATAGTCGGCGCACCTTCCTGCTTTCAGTCCAATCAGGTTTAAGGGGACAGCACTGAACTGGCCAGACCCACCTCCTTGCAAAAAAATCACCTTGTAGTTGTCTGGAACAGCTCTGGGCAGAAGCACAGGAGACCGTAACTAGAGACTCACAGGGTCAAAGGCGGAGCATGCGCGATGCTCTGCCGGCACTTTACCCTGGGTAGACATACGAGAACGATGGGAACGCCCCACCACCGCTCTGCCTTCCCCAATCCAGTCATTTACCTACTCACTCCTTGGACAACTATTTATTGGCCCTGTGGTGGAAGCCTATGGTCACTGTTTGGACGGAAGCTAGTAACACCCTCCTGCTCCTATAGGGTGTCACCCCGTGCTACCATTCTCAGTCCACGTGGTTCAAGGGTGACCAAGCCCAGCTCCAGGGGATGAGCACATGACCCAAGTTGGCCAACGGAGCTTGGTTCTGAGACCTTCGATCAAATTTTTGGGAAAGAGCTCTTTCTATTGAGGGGAAGAATGAATTTGTAGGAACTAACCCTACAACCAATGGTGGCCATCTGATGAAGCTACCACATAAAACAGCAGGTCCAAGAGATGAGAAAAAGACCTTCCTGACATCACCTGAGCTCTTATATCACTCCCGGACTTTTCCATCATGCAAGGTAATACATTTCTTTTTTTTTCGAATACAAGTGGAAGTTTATTTAGAAAGCACAGAGGTAGAAAGAGTGAGCCAGCTGGGCTGCATGGGCTCAGGAAACAAGTTACAGAAGTAAAAGAAGGGCCCCTGGAGCTTAAGAGAAAGAAAGTAAAGGTAAAACTGTCTGGGGGGAAGAAGACAGGGAAAAGGGCATGGGCATGCGAGGGGGGGGGGG